ACGGGTGCAGCTGGATGTGTGAATTTACGGTTATGTGGTGATTATGGCTTTTTAGAAGGGAAGATGATATTCCTCATTGTGAATGCTGTTCCTAGTTAGCAAGAGTGCTCTAGGTCTGCTCCCACCCTGTTGGGCAGATGTCGCTCTTTGGAAAAGGACAGGGAAACTTGAACTGTCTCCTCCTTCTCTTGGCTGACTAAATTACCATTACATATATTTTCCTGGGAATTATAAGCCATCATATTGGCTTGCCATGAGCAAATCCCCAAGCACTTTCAGAGTTTTAATATTATTGTATACTCTTACAAACCCTTAATTAGCGAGTCAATGAAGAAGCAGCATAAAAATGAGTTTTCACTGATGAGCTGTTCCAACTTGTTCTTTCAGTAACTATAGCAAACGCTGCAGTGGAATGTGCGGCTGCAGGGTATGAAGTCGTATACAAAAATATTAACCTGTGATGAGATATATAGTATACAAACAACCTGGTAATTTTTTTTAAAAAAAAAACAAAATTTTAAAAATACCAATGGGCAAAACATTCAGTTTGCATTTTTGCTTAATCCGTCCTTTATTCTCCCGGTTACAGTCACTGCACACCAGGACCATTAACATGCCTTGTAATTCATGGGGTTTTAGGACTTGCAAAGGTTTGTAGAGTGGTGCTGAAAGCAGAAGATAAGGACTGATTGTCAGAGGAGGATTCCCTTGGCAATGAGGCTGACAGAAGTGGGATAGGTCTACTTTGTTCGGGCACTATCCATTATTTGTCTTTATTTATACAGCTGGAAACTGTCACATTTTTTATTTCAGATGTGTTGTGACATTTGATGTTAGTGTAGGTAGTTGCTGATATAATACTCACTTAGGAGAAGTATCAGGGAAAAGAAAGTTTCAGGATGGGAGCATTTTCCCCGGGGTGATTTGGAGTCCTGCTGTGGCAGTACTGTTGTAGCTCTCCCATAATCATTTTCAAATTAATTGAATTTTAATGAACTGTTCAACTTTTAAAGGCAGTATTCTTGAATTTAGTTGGGCTGGCTTAGCTGAATTAGGAATACTACAGGAAGATAAATAGTTTATTTTAAACTTGATTTTATCTCAGTAAATGAATTATCAGTTATATTAAATGGAACACATAGGGGTATTGCTTTGCTGTGTCTCCAAATTCAACTAAGGGTAATGCAACAGTTAGTAAAAGTGTGGGTTATTAGTTGTTGGCGTGTACTTTTGTGCTTAGTAAGTCATTAAGACTTTGTAGATGCTACAAGAAGAAAGGAATAGAAATGCTACACCTAATATTAAGAGGAAAAATAGGTGAAGGAAGGGCAACCTATACAACAAAGCTGGGTGCTTTCTGTTGTAAACACACTGGTCTTGGCTGCTTATAGGTTTGCCAGATCTACTTCTTTAAATTCACATTTTAATCATCCAGTTTTTCCTTAGCTTGTTCTTAAAAGTCAGGGCCAAAATAGCCCAGCTCTTTCTTGAGAGTGAGGCCAGTGGAAAATACAGTAGCTTTCCTGGGCTCAATTCTGGTAACATTTTCTTTGGAAAGCTCTAGTGCCCTTATGCTTCAGAGGAGATATTTGAAATTTGGCAGGAAGGTGCTATTTGCATTGTCTAGAAAATCTACCTAAATTTGTCCAAGTAACAAATCTTCGGAAAACTGCATTCCTCTGGAAATAAATCTATTTTTATCAGCTTGATTTTAACATAAATTCTGTCTGTCCTTGGTGTAGAGCTTAGTCAGACTTCCTCTCCTATCGGAGTTGTAGTGGGGTGTAGCTGTTTCTATGTGAGGTCTCGGTCTACACCTTCAAACACAGAAACTCCCTCTCTTGTGTTCTTATGTTATTTGGTATTTTTACTCCAATCTCTGTTGTTGTTTGAGGCACTCTTCTTTCCAGTTTGCTTCTAGGTCCTGGTCTGCTGATTGTACTGCACGCTCTTAGCTGGTTCCTGGGCTCTGGGTGAATCACCTTGCTCTCCCTTTCATGAGAATAATTCACTTCAAAGTCAATTCTGAAGTAGTAGTGTCGGAGGACCATGTCTCGTGGAGGAAATCAAATTTAGTGTGGCCTCAGCTATACTATCTCAGCATGCACTCGCGTTCAAGCCCACCGCACACCTACCTCCAGTAACCCAGGACATCAATGATATAACTCGTTCTTAAAATCTCCGCTCTGTGAAGCATGCACTCCTCACGCTATTTAACTCTGAAGTGAAAAGTCACAGCTAAATAAGGGTTATGCCTTTTGGGCCACAGGTGTACCGCTTGAGGAACTCGAGTCTCCTCAAGCCTCCCTGTGGGACCCAGGCAGCCTGGAGGAGAAAGCAGCCCTCTCTGAAATTGTGAGGGGTGGTTCTCTGAAACTTCGGAGAGAACCCAGAATTTCCAAAGGTAACCCCTTTTCTGTTTGGTACATATCTGACCCTTGCTGATGAAAAACATCCTGTTGTCTTGGAGACCTTGTTAGCAGTGGGCTGTAGACCCATAAAGAGGGTAAGGAGGGGACCCCACTAACATAGTCTCTTTCTTCAGATCACTTCTGTTTAAACTGGGATGAAAGTTATGCTACAAAAACAGAGTTGAACTTGCAAAAGTTAGGAAGTGCCCGAAATAAGTTAGCAACCCGCATTTGTCCCTTCTGTGTATCACGCGGTCCCTTGGGTGCACATGCAGAGCCTTGCTGCTGCCAATGCCTGTGGACAGGGGAAGGTAGTGTGGTCAGAGAAGAGGCTGGGACTCCTGCCTTGCTTGGTTTTGAAGTTATAAGGTGCTCTATGAATGAGGAGGAAAGGTAGGATGAAGAGAAAGGAATACATATATATTTTTTTTTCCCTTGCAAAGTTGGATTCTTTCTCTCCTTTTTTGTCACAAAAGCTGAGTGCAATTTCAGGCGAGTCATTTAAATCAAATCTTTGACACGTGGTTGGACCTTTTGTGCTCCTCTCTTTCTCTTTGCTCATCCAGGGGTTCTCAAAACTTAAGCTGTGTTTTCACGATCTGGTTAAGCTGACCTGAATGTGGGGCTGACTCTGCAAGGACATTTCATTGACTCCTGATTGCATGTTCCCACCACTTTCCTTGTGCTGCCACTGGGGCTTGGTCTGGAGAACAGGTCAGGGACCCATTTGCCTGAATAATTTTTTCCCTTTTTTGGGCCAGGTTGGTTTTGGAGATGAGCTAAACTGATCCTGTTCAGTTGAGCAATTTATTTAAGTGTTAGCACTGGCATAGGGGACAGTCAGAACTCTTGGCCAGAGGAGGGGGGGAAGCTGGAAAAGTTGCTTTCACTGGTAGCCAGCACTTCCACTGGCTTGAGCTGGTTGTGAAAGTTCATCCTGACATGCAAAGCTGCTGTGTATTCACAGCTGTGAATGAAGTCAATGGAAATTGTATTCTGAATTGTGCTAAGTATTCTGAAAAAAATAAGGTTTTAGCTGTATTGATAGATATCCAAAAGGGCTATGTATTTTTGACCTTAACTATTTTTTTCTTAAATGGGGCTAAGGATGAGCTCTCATTTCACTTGATTGTTGAGAAATAAATTCTCTGTCACTTGCAAATACTTAGATGCTTATAGTCAAGATATGTGGAGATTAATCCAAAAGGAAGCTGAGCTGCTAATTCAGTAGGTTAAAATAGTGTACATAACAAGTACAAGGCTGTGTACCGAGCAGCAGGGACATACTGATAACTGAATAGCAAGTGCAAATCACACATTTGGTGCAATAAATGAAGCCAGAAGTCCAGGTGAAAATTCAGTGCGTGATCGTAATACACATGCACACACACACCAGCTTAAAGCTGTACAACCCATCTTAGTCTTTGCTTTTCTCTTTGTGATCATCTTTTGTTTCCTTGCTGTTTTATTATCATACTTGTGAGTAATGTTGATGTTAAAAATAATACTAAAATCTGGAGATTGTTTGAGAGCAGGACCCAAACGTGAACTCTTCTTAAACTAAAACTATCTCTAGTTTTTCCTACTTTAAGAGAGTTTGTCAGGTGGTAGGAGCATCATTATATATTATTTTTGGAGTTTTGCCTTTCACAGCATTGCACATTGGAGTAAGGCTTCATTCGTACTGTATTACAGGACTTGTATTTTGTACGAATTTTGTTTATTTTAGAAAGCATACAAGGTATCACACTCCTAAAGACATTAACAGTTGATATTTATTTGTGCATAATTTGGGAAAAGTAAACATGAGACCTTGCCAACAAGTTTTAATTATGTGCTGTCTGGCTCTGGAACAATTTTCAAATTGTTCTTTGCTTTTTTGATTGAGTGACACAGAATTTTCATTTAAGACATCAAAAAAGTAAAAGGACTGATACTCCTTGGTTTTATTGTGTTTCTTAGCCACTATGTAAATGTTATTCATTGTGGTCTTTCTTCACTATTGTTAATTTTGAATGAGTGAAAGTGGGTTTTTTTTTCAGGTACTTTGTGTGCTGTGTTTTCTTGAGGGCTAATAACTAGAACTGCCAATGTCATGTCATAATGTCCAAAAAGCAAAATGTGAATAAAATACTTTCCTTCAGGGTTAGTAAAGGTGAAAGGGAGTTTATACATCTTCAGATGAGTAAAGCAACTCATTTTCCCCAGCAGAAATCTTGGGCAGTCTCTAGCCAGTGTTGTTGTTTTCATTTAAAGGTTTCCTTTGTTAGGCTCTGTGCAGGCTGGTTCCCATTTCCATGGTGACCATGCCGAAATGCAGACAGGACACAGGCTGGATTCTCTTCGGCAGAGCCATGCACTTGCATACCAACGCATGTTGTCTGCTTGGCTTAGGACAGTTCCATTAGCAGTTTTAATGTTTAAAATTTCTTTTTCACAAAGTGGTCTCTGGCCCTGTGATACAGCGCTGTGTTAGGATTTCGGACCCTATACAGTCAGAGAAAGCAAGTTGATAAGCTTATTTTTTGTGTAAATAAATTGACTGAACTGTTCCCATTCAAATTAGTCAAGAACATCAGAGAACTGTCTCAGCCTTGGTTTTCACGTCTGTTAAAAAAGATAACAGAGAAGGATTTTTATTTATAAACCTTTAGGTGAAAGACCTACACGTATCTGTGCTAAATTGTTACATGAACATACCCCCTTTTCAAGGCACTGATAAAAGGATAATAAAAATAAATGAATGTGAATTACATGGGATAAATGATACCTTCTGTCTATACTAGCTGAGTGTGAGTGTGTATTTCTGTAAAGCAATATGCAGTAATGTTCTTCCTGCTCATGCTGCACTCATTTTCTGGAGGTAAAGAATGCTAAAGGCAGTCAACATAAACAGTGTGAGCATTTCCATTGCTTCCAAATCAATTCTGAATTACCAAATAAACTCAATATTCTGAGTACCAGTAATTGTTACTTTGAATTAGTCCCTGAATAGTATTTCAGGATCTTCAGAGTACTCCATTAGTTTTATTTTCTCCTGGAGATGTGTATTCTTTAAAAAGCTAGTAAGATTTGCACATTTTTCAAGACTGAAATGTACTGATTATGTGATAAATACTGATTAGTGAAAAGAGTGATTATGTAGGCAAAGTAAGATAAACAGACTCTTTGAATTCCATACAAGGAAAGACATTTTGTGTATAACTGAATGGCATCTGCATGGTTGGATGTCACACACGATGAATGTCACGGATTCTTTTGTCCCTTTCAAATCACTGGTAGACGGGGCGGAGGGCTTGGAAGTTACGTACAGCCCTGTTGGAACTCTCTTGCCTTATTCCTGATTTACTTTGCCCTTTTAATCCTGCTTCCAAGTTCATCACTCTTCTTTTGTTTGATAAAGGGTGTTTTTTTAATTATACAGATCTCCTTGGCTAACATGATTGGTTATTTCTCAATAACAGATAATAAAGAAATATTGAGGAAAACTGCTGTTAACAACACGCTTCTGGAAGGGAGCGTATCACACAGTGGCAATACCTAAGGAAATTATGGAGTTTGAGGATGGCGGGCTGGAGAAGGTTGAATTAGGTTTTTACCTTTTATTTACCTACCAATCTGTCTATCTGCCTTTCTAGCTATCTGCTTCAAACGTAAGTGACCCTTACACAAGAAAGCTAGCAGCAGTTGATGCTGTGTTAAGGCTGTGGCACAAAGCTGTATGTCATGATAAGGCTGCAGATGCCGAAGCTGCCTAACCTGCTGGATTACCCAGTAAAAAACTACCTCAAGCGACTGCATGTTCAGACTTCTTGTCTGAATGAGAAATAGCTGACCTGCGCCTGGCTCACGTGAGCCTAGAGCAGCGGTGGGTGCCATTACGAGGAGCTGTGAAGCCAGCACTTTTTGAGGGATGTGCTCGTGCCGTGCTGTGTGCTGTCTGGAGTACGGCAGCTGCCATGGGTAAACCAGCTGGATTAAGTGGCAGCGTGTCTGCCTTTTCCACATACACAGCAGTCACTTCTCTTAACTTCTCAGTTCTTGTGATTGTTGTGTTCGTGTCTCCCTTCAACCAGGAAAGCACACTGGGTAAGAAATATTGCTTAATTGCATAATCTCCTAAAGCAGCAAAAATTACTGGACTTTAAATTTACTCTAGGCTGGTCCCATTCTCTTAGTGAGGTGAATGCCTACGTAGGTGTCCAAATCAGGGCAACCTCTGTCAAGAGTTAGTGGCCTGCTTTCTTAATAGCTACATGCTTTCTTAACATGCTACAATAAGGAAGGTAAACATGGAAGAATCTCTTTGATAGAGACCTGACTGAAGCAGAAGCAAGTGGGGTATCTTTTCCCCAGGCAACTGGTGTTGTCCTAGGGGGTTACCTAGGTGGAGAGTGTGTGACCTGAATGTTTCTGTGCCTGTATCCTTATTTGCATTTTCTATTTGAGAAGAATGGTAATTGCTAACTGAAGAAGTGCACAACATTTTATTAAATAGTTTTTCACCGATTCAGCTTTTGTAACTGTAAATTCTAATAAGACAATAAGAGTAGTGCTCTAATAGCGCTATGCATGAGAGCAATTTAATCCACTATTCCTATCGTGTGGGAATAAATTCAGTTATCTTTATGTGCAGTACTTCGGATGCTTATAGAACTGATTGGATTTATAGATATTAAGCTCGGATTTAGGTGAAATTTCTCAAATGAAAATTTAGCTAACCTTTATAAATGGAAAAAATGTGAGTGGCCTGAGACTTCATCTAACTATGCCCACCAAATAGATTTTGGCATTTAAATATGCCTGAAATACATATAGATCAAGTTTAGAATAGCAGAAATTACTGAAAATTAAGTAACTTTCCCATTAAGATGGGCAAAACGATAAACAGAGGAAAAAATCCAGCAGCACTGCTTCAATAGTAGTCCATTAGTACCTCTGCTAATAATAGTTATCCATTTGACTCTAGACAAATATCCTTTCATTTCACTATCTCTGCTCTCTCTTCTTTTTTGTTGCTTTTGTTTTCTTTTCCAAACTACCCAAAGCCAGTTCATCATATTCAACAGTAAAAAAATACTTTAAAGGTCTCTGGAGTTGTCTTTCTGAGAAGTTGACAGCTTCAATAGACTTCACTTCTGTGAAGACAAAAAGCAACTGTTCTGCTCTTATGGAGGTAAGTATTATCTCCAGAAAACTCTTCTTAAATGTACATGGGCCCTTCTCTCTGACCCCAAAATGTACAATGGCTGCATTTTACAAAAAAAAAAGATAACTTATTTCCAAACTCTGACTAGAGATAGCCTGTCACCCACCTGACCACAGGCATCTGGATACGCCAGAGTCTGGTGTGCAGGCAGAAGGCTAGCAGAGTGCATGCTGCAGCCCCACTTTGCCTGAAAACCTGGTCCCCCTGCCCAGGAGTGCGGAGTGGGGTGGCTTGGACTCAGCAGAGACGTTTAGGTGCTTTGGAAGTGCATGAAGAATATTTGCTTGCAAAGCAGGAAGGCTCCTGCAGTTAAGTGGTGGGTCAAGGGGAGTGTTTGAACTACAGCCCTCTCGGGCACCTGCATTAGGTGGCTCCATCCCTTGAGGTCAGCTGGGGAAAAATTTTGGGCAGTAGGTGTCTAGTTCAGCTTTTTTTTTTCAAGAAGCAGATGCCTGAGAACTGATGGCAATAGTCACCTGGGAAACATGGGCTTAGAGAGCTGAGAACCCTGGAGGCTCACGGCAATGTAGACTTGTCTCTCGCACTTTTCCAGAAGCATCTTGACTACCAGGCAATCAGGCATTCAAAGGAGAAGTGCTCTCTACCTCTGCTATTGGAACCAGGTCTCAGCTCATCCTGGGATGCATATTTGTGTTTCCATGCAGACAAGCAAAGACACATCTTGCCTGTGGCCTAATGTCTGGGGCACTTAGATGGGAGGAGAGAAGTTCTGAGTTGGCCCTTTTGGACTGTTTAAACGCAATTCACGTTTGGTAAATAGGCAGTGCATAAAAAGAAGTTATTTAGCTATGCAGTTAAATCATTTAATTATTTAGAGCAGAAATGATTTAATCAGGAAGCATTCATTGCCTCTGTCCATGATATCAGAGTGAGTTACAGTAGGGTAGGAGACCTTGCTCTTAGACAGGTTTGCTTCTACACCTGGATCATATTCTAAATTTTTATGCAACTTTGTGCTATGAAACCTAGGTGACAGATAATTTTTTAGTTCCTTCTGGGTTAGAGAGCTACCAAAGTCTGGGTTTCCTGGATTGTTTTCCTGATTTTAATGAGCCCTAGGTCTGCCTAGGCCCTATCTGGTGCCAGAATGTACATGCCAGAATGTAATTTCAATGTGCATTAAAGAGGAATTTCAGGTGAGTGATTGGGACCACCTGCCTACTGTTCAGGCTGCCCAGCCATGAGCTCCCATTACAATCGGGAAAAGAAATAGTTGTTAAGTCTGCTATAGGAAAACAAAAGTTTGGATAATTATAGCTTTTCCAACTATTGTATTATATATCCTGTGGTGCTTCAGGGGTTTTCTTACTGCAGGAAGCTGATGCAGCAAACTTTTTGAGGCTGAGGCTGTTCTTGTTTCTGGGGCTGTCCGTGTATACTGCAGAAAGCTGAGATACCAGGTAGCTCTTGAGAATTTGTGACAGAGGAACAGGGTCCTAAATATGTTGTCCTAAATGGTGTGATGGCAGGACTGCTCTCAAGACACTGCAGTCCTCATGCTGCATGCAGGCTGTGACGCTGGAGTGTCAGAGGGATTGATGGTGAAGGCGAGTCCCTCGGCCTTTTTCTAATTTAGCCTTTTCACATCACAGTTAACAGTGATATAATATAATACACTAATATGTTACAATGCAGTGAAATTTTCATATAACCTAGAGTGTGAAGTGGATACGGAAATACAGATGCCTTTGGAGGCTTTCCCATCTTCTTGATACCTGTGTGCAACCACACGTTTTCGTCTGCGTACCAACATGCTTTCGTAGCAGCTGAGACGAGCAAATGGGCTATAGAGATAGCAGGCACATGGGTTTCTGTGTGATGACTTGCATTTCCTCTCTTACAGGCATAATGTAGCTCATGCTTATCTTACTGTATTTGGAAATGTTGCTGGTTTAAAAAAAAGGGCCAACAACTGATAATGCGGACACAAGGGAAGAGAATTTGATGGAATGGAATGTCACATGAAAAGTCAGTTTTATCACAGGGAAGCATATGAAGGTTTTTTTATTTCTTGTGAAGCCAGTGACCTAATTGCATATAAAACATATAGCTGTGTACAGCTTGATAGTCTCATATACTTTTGTTCTCTTTGTGGCATCATTGAGAACAAATTGTGGTAGTCTAAGGACAAAGTAGAAATAAAACTGTTTGTTGTGAAGAAAAACTGCAGGGCAGTTAAAAAAGATGCAATTTATGTGAGTTTTCTGTAAAAAAAAAGTAAGGTTTTCCCACTTAATAACGGAAACATGGCAGGATAATAAATTTGAAGAGGCTTGGATTCTTGCTGTCTTTATTAAAAAAACATAGAAAGTTGTCAGTCTTGCAGGAACTCCTCTTAAGCATTACTTTGGAATCAGTCCTTTTGTGTACGGTACGTTGTTGAGATTTCTTAACTCCAGATGAAGAACAGTTTATTCATCTGCTCTGGAAGCCAGCGATGGCAATGTGTGGGCCACAGATAGGGAGTTATGAGGAAAAAGACAAGTCTTTCAGAGTAACTAATGCAGCTGAGGGTAAATTTAATTAGATCTTTTATTCTGCAGCAGTGCCAGAACAGTAAAATAGACAGCACCTAGTCATGTTATCCCAGTCTCTCCAACATTTCTTTCACAATTTGTATGTCGTATCATGTTTGGGTTGCTTTTATAGCAGGTTGTTGGTAACTCTTTGGTGCAGCTTCTTGGATCATAAACAGTTGTAATTGAAAGGCAGTGACTCAGGCTTTCACACACTCGGAGGCTTTCAGGCTGGATGCTGACCTACTTCCAGGAAGAAACAGTCAATCAACACAGCCAAGAAAACTTGTTGGAGGGAGGGAGAGGAGGGGAGGAAGAAGGGCGGGAGGCAGGATTTGTTACTAAGTGAGGCATTGTTTTTCCTTTCTTCTGGGTGGGTTTTTGGTTTTTGGTTTGGGTTTTTTTTTTTTTTTTTTTTTTTTGGGGGGGGGGGGCTATAATTTATTTCTACAGTAAATGTTGTAATCTCTGTAAATTATTAAATAGTTTGAGATATTGTAGTTGCTGTTAGGAAAATGTTGGTCTCAAGATAAAAGAAAGATAAACAAATAAATGGAGCAGTAAAATGAAGACGTACCTTTTAAGGCTTCTGTAAACATAATGAAATATCAACAAAGTAATTGAAGTGATGATTATAAAATACTCTGACTCTTAGTACAAAAAATGCAATGTCTTGCCAGTCGCATTCTTTGCTCCTTTTGATTCCTGACAGAAGTTCACATTGTCTTTATTTAGAAGGTTGTTCTCAATAAGAAATCTGTTCGATTTAAAATAAAAACTGGTTAACTGTGATTATAAAACTACAGTTTCATTACATGAGCTGAAGATATCCTTTTGCCATTGTATATATTGATGAGATAGTACATATCGAAGAAAAAAATTACAAAAAATAGAGAAGTAAATATTCAGGAGGAATTCTCATTAGAGAAAATATTTTTCACTTCTATTGACCATATTGGATAAATACAGCAAAGCAGATCAGGCTGAAGACGAATACATTGTCAAAAAAAAAAAAAAAAAATTAGTTCATTTATGAGCAGATTTCCTCCCTGAACAAGCTCATTGCAGTGAGAATTACTTGGTGGCTTCCAGAAGCCACAATGAAGAATATCTGTGCTGCAATTCAATAGAATAAAGTAACTCCATGCTGCTTGTTTTGTTCTTTATGTATTCACAGTCTTGTCAATGAAATCTTCAAAACACAGTGTATTATGAAAGCTGTTCAAATTACGGGTTGTCCATTCTGTAAAAAATAGCTGACTAATTCCAGTTGGATTATTGCTATGATAACATAGGTTCTGAATAATAAGGGAGTATCTTTACTCTTGTACCAAGATGTTGCC